TTATGTGTATAATTATTATTCTATTTTTTAACTAATGTCGCATGCAGACATTATATATATATATATATATATATATAAAATATATATATATAATATATATATGACACTAGTTAAATTATTCATTCACGCAAACTTATACCTTGCATATATGCAAGCAAACATATAAACATGTATATATATATATATATATATATATATATATATATGTGTGTACACATATACACGTGTATGTGTTAGTGGATGTACGTGTGTGTGCGTGCGTGTGTACAAAATTACATCCATACTTAAACATAATGCCAGTTTCAAAATTTTACACAAGACCCAGCGTTAGACAATAAAAAAAATGTCATATATCACAGTGAGTTTGTTACAAAAGTTTCTATTTAGGAAGCCATTAAATGGCGGCAAAAGGTATTCATAAATGTTCCTCTAATGCATCAATCCATTCTTGCGTAAATATAATGTTGTTGTTGAATTTTCGCAGTTCAATTCAATGCAGCCATCTAAAAATTTTTGTTCCCGACGTGTTCTGCCAAAAATTTTCAGGCTTATTTGTACTCATGTATTTAAACGTAAGCACCATTTTTTAAGTTGCGCCCCCCCAGAAAATCAAATTTTGAAAAAATCGAAATGAACTATCACTTGTCATTTCATTAAATATCACATAATTTTTCGAATGAAAGCTGAAACTTTTAATAAAATACAAAAAAAATACTAAAGGAGCAAGCACGCACATACACCGCGCGAGCGCACACACGTACATTTGCACGCATTTCGGTGCCTAAGAAAGCACTATTGAAGGAACTTCAAAGTTTTCGAAAGAAAGTTGTTTAATTTATGTGTTATGAACGTTAGTATAATGCAAAAATAAACAATAACTAAAAAAATAAAACTGCATTTACGTACGTTAAGTGTGTGTTGTGTTACTGCATTATACATGTGAGCATTTAAACATAAGTGAATGGTGTCGTGAATATGGTTCAACCTTAACATTATGTATAATTTAGAAAAAAAAATTGTTTATATGGGTTAAATGTGTTATGCACAAATTATCTTATACACTAACGCACATCCATATAATTTCCACTACTTTCGTTTGTGAGTTACAAAAATATTTGCGATATAAAACTAACTTGCGTGTGTGCTTGCGTGTCTGTCCTTAGATTCTAGTTTTACAAACGTACACGCATACGTACGTACAAATAGATCATATGTATATATATATATATATATATATATATATACCTTAATCGTATGTGCATCACAAGGTATGCACATATGCATGGAGTCCTATACTTTCGTTACACAGGCATGCATTCAGGTATCACTGCAAATCGAGGCACTCATACAAAAGCGTACATGTTTACAATACGTACGAACATACATACATACATATATAAATACACAAACATATATATATATATATAATTTATTTATTTACAACATGGAATATATATGCGTTTCTATTTATAAATATTTACAGAATTATTCAATTATATACATAAACATATATCGCGTTAACGTTGGGAGAATTGCTGGTATTTGAATTAAAAGTTTGTCTTTTCAATTTTTCTTACTTTTCTGGAATTAGTCTAATATATAAAAATTAAAGATAAAATTATCATCTAGTCATCTTGCAAATAAGCCTATTTTGATATGTCAGCATTCTTCAGTGCAAATTTTCTACCAATTAATCCACTAATAGACTCTGCATAAGAAGCAGAGTAAACCAAAGCAGCCTGAAAATGATTTCTGAAATATCGAAATAGGCCTATTGCACGATGAATTTGAGTAATAATTTTAATAAATTAGACAATTTCCAGAAATTTCTAATAAAAAAAAATTGAAAAGACAAATTTTAAATTGTTCAGTCAACAATTCGGTAGAATTCTTACAATATATATATACATATATATATATATACATATATACATGTATATATACATACATATATACATAAACCAGTGAGTTGAAGTAGTGTGATTAATGCCGTAGTTTATGATGTACATAAGTTAATGAGTTCGATTAAAATTAATTAGAATTATTAATTAATATCTACTTACTATAAGTAATTTAACACTTTACTAAAATTTAAAAACGTACATACATTGATACATACATACATATACAATAATATGAAGTATTACTAATGTTTATTATATACTAGGCTGACCGGTTTTCCAGGGTTAGTTCTTTTTTTGAGCAAGTTGTGCCTGCTGCCGAAAAGTCCACCAAACTATAAAAATGTTTCGATTTAATTTTATTACATCCATATAGATTCAAATCAATACGAAAAAGGGTTGTATGGAACTTTATGAAATTTTATTGGCAGACAACAGTTTTAAAGGGCTTTCATCCGCGTGCCAAATATAGTAGACCAAAGAAATTTTATTTTTAAGGGTTATTACAAGTAAACATTAGTATATTAACAATATTTTTTTAATTTTAGGTAATAATTATACTGGTTGATTTAGTTATTTTGTGACAACAATTTAACCGCTACGATTTGTCCCGGTTTTTCAATTTCTCGTCGGCCTATTATATATACAGAACTATTATATTATTTAACAATCAAGTTTACTTTTGGGACTGAATTATACATGAAAATAAGGCAGTTACTGATATATATATATATATATTTATATGCAGTAATTTTTGAAATCTACCAAATTTCTAGCGCTGGAAACTATCATAAACTACTGCTTTAATTATGGTCTTTTACCATCATATATATATATATATATATATATATATATATATATATATATCCGTTTTTTCATGCTTTTTGCTGAATAAAATTTAATTGAAATATATATATATATATATTATAATATTATACAGTTATTGATGAAAATCGCAGCATGTTCCGCGTTAGTTAGCTTCCTGTTTAATTTTTCTAACGGTGGATCGTAAATCATTAAAAAGCCAATTAAGTCGGAACTAGCTGTGATTTTCATCAATAATTGCATTTCTGACAGTCTTATTTCAATCTCTCTTTTTCTCTTTATATATATATATATATAATGTATATATAATATATGTAAAATGTATATATAGAGAGAAGCTATCAGGAAGACTCACGACGCACGTTCAAACTGGCGCTATAAAGAATCACATGAAAGAGAAACACAATACTAAAATTACTAGACAAATCTAGGAAAACAATGTTGAAATCTTACATTACAATAACAACCATTATAATTTACGACTAACCGAATTACTAATAGAACAAAGACATCCGATAATAAATATTCAACAACGGGCAATTGGAATCCTTCCCACTAATAAATTTAGAATCAGAGGAATCATCGATAACGATGACACGTAAAAGTGTCATATTGCACAAAGTTGAAGATCGTAATAACTAGTTAAATGATCGTTGAACATTGTTCTTATTAAACAAACAAAGAATTAACATTGTATAGATACTGTATACATATATACTTGAGCATTTGGCCACATACACAACGTATCCATTGGAATACCGAAGATGGTAAAGGAATAACGAAAAAAGCTTTTTTGTTCTATCATGCTTGAAATAAATAAAAATTTTGGTTTTGAACTCGAGAAACTTGACAATGATTTATGATCTACCCTTAGAAAAATCGAAAAATTAAACTGGAAGCTAACCCGGAACACGTTGTGATTTTCATCGGTAATTGCATTTATGTATACTGTATATATATATATATATATATTTATATATATATAATCCAATATATATATATATACATATACATTATAAATTATATATGTATTCAATATACACCATAAAAAGCACAAACTGTTAGAATTAGAATGAACATATGAAGTGAGATATTTTTAAAATATTTTTAAGAACGTAGACCTTGAACAGGCTTGTGCAAATGTAAATATTCCTAAGTAATACGTTATATCATGATCCTGTGATACATATCATATAATCATGTATACTTTTATATATGCATATATAAATATATATATGTAAATTCTGTTTATTGCAATGACTATTACATTTTTCTTTTTATTTCTTAGTATGTCTATATATATATATATAAATATATTAATAGTACATAGTTATATTATATTTACACATATAAATATACATTTAATAAACACACGCACGCACGCATATACATATGTTATATATATATATATATATATATATATATGTGTGTGGGTGTGTGTGTGTGTTTGTGTGTGTGTATTATGTTTGTTTATATCCACATAAATATACAGTGTCTATATGTACACTTTGGCTTAAACGAGTTTTAAGAAGTGGCAGTCTTACGTAACATTTTAAAGTTGGAAAATAATTGAAAATGAACAAAAATATGTCTCACTGATAAAAACTTTCGATTCTCCCTGTCTCTTTTTTTTTTATTAAGAAATATATTTTTGAGGTTATCCAAACTTGTTGAGAGCTTACAATGTTTAATTGGTGCGTGTTTCTAAATATGTCTAACATTTTTTCTGGTTTTATTTGTATAATTGCGTGTGTGACTAACAAAACTGAGAATAAGTGAATGAACATGTCGTTGACATGAACATCACGGTTACACAAATCTTAAAATAAACATCTTCCACTCATTGACCTGGTGATTTAAAACATATATTTAACATTCAATTTTCACAGTCAATCATTAAATTGTGGCATTATACATGTGGATATATTTGTGTTAGATTATTACAAGGGTAAAATAACTGACATTCACACCAATAAACTCGCAGCTGTGTGACTTTCACATTGAACGTTCGCACTTGCACGTGTTATAAAATGGAACCCATAAAAATATCGTACGATGAAATGTGTGTGATCAGAAAAATCAATTTATTGAAATAGAATGGAGATATTTTTTGTTACGTACTTTCATGTTGTGTGTTTGCAGTAATTATTTATCATCGCGACGAGAGATGCTCTATGCTCGAGCGTCAAGATACCATTTTTAACATTTTGTTTCATTTGTTGCTTGTTGAATCAGATCACAGGCATCGTATCACAAAGTTTTTTTTTTATATTCAGAGACCTCTAGGCACACGAACAGTCATCAACTTTCGCTCCCGTTATGTAATCATTCCTGATGTTGCTTGAATCGTCAAAGTAGACAAGTCTTATAGCAGAAGTTTTCACCGGGGTGCAGCACTGAGTGTTCACGTCCGTCATGCCGATCAAAACCTGGTTGGTTATGTGTGTCGCCGGATTATCCAATCTGTTGCCCAAAGTACACTGGCCATTGCAATAATGCGAGATAAACCTGTGTGGAGGATGTTTTTCAAAAATATAAAATATTTTCTGACTAAGAAATTTTCATACAGTGTGTTTCATCCAAAAAACAAATATACAAAAAATATAGAAAAAAATGTTACGAACATCCTAGGATGTATGATGAAATTCCAAGAGTAATTTTCAAAATTTATTTCAAGGGGGAACCGGCAACATTTTTTACCGATGGAGAACTCGTTGCAATCGTTGTCACTCTGGCTGATGTCTCTGCGATGTCTTGTTGAAAGTGAGTGTCCACTCTTTGGCTTCTTACCGAGCTCTATGTTAATGTAAGGACGCTGAAAATATTACAATTATTCATAAAAGTCAGTTTCTTATTTGTATATTAAAATCACGATTACTTCAGCACACCTCCACCAATAGCCACCTGATAAGCAACGAGCGTCATCATTGTGGCTTACACAATTTTATATGGCAGTCGTTTTCATAATTGTAATTATGAGCTCAGTTAATATTATTATTTGTGGTCATTCAACATTTAATCAACATTACATTTTTCCATTTGATTAACGATTTAAAAATTAAAATCTTTCATAATTATTATTCAACTTACATGACTTTCATCAATTTTTCCTTCTGAAGACGGAGTTACCAGCCGGTGAATGAGCGAATTCGTTCCGCTTAGATCAATTTTTAATCCAAAATTACTGTTTGAATCATCTATCCATTTGTTGATCTGTTTTTTTAAATCAAATTCGAACCACATGCATTCCTTGTCATCCATGTTTATTTCGTGCTTTTCTATTTCAAATTCTTGAGGAATGGCTTCATCCGACAGAAGATCTTTCAAATGGATGAACTCCTTATGAGTTTTGTTCAAGTGAGCAGCTTGTCTTCGCTGTCGGTGCCCGTTGTGGTGGCTAGGAGATCGATTATGTTCTAAACAGTGATGATGGTGATTTGTGTCATGGTGTTTGTGGCTGCTGTGGTTGCCATGATGGCGATGATGACGCTCGTGATGGAAACTGTTATTAATTTTCAGAATATATACGCCCATTGTTGCGCTTTTGATTTTGTAATTTTCAAGATTGTCTTGCAGATCAATGGAACATTTGAAAGAATTGGTGGAAGCAGTAGTTTGGTTTTCTTCCGCTAAAAAAGTTGACAATGAAATGTTTATATATTTTTTCGATATTTTTAATAGAAATAAAATAAGTGATGTCAACATGACAATTCATACTTTGCTACTTGGTTCCTCCAAGTTATAATATTCAACTATTTAAATGACATTTATACGAAAACAAATGACTGAAACAGATACAACCGAGAATGTAAATTTTGACATTTTTTGAAAATTTTATAAAAAAGTTTTTACTAAAATAAGATTTTAAATTTAATAATTAGCGTGCCAACGTTTAATTTTAACAGCAATTCCAATGCAAGATTTAATAATAAATTAGCCAACGATGCTGTGTATGTAACAAACGCTTTAAAGGAATTGCCACGATTGATTTGACCTGTTAAACATATTTTTTGCTCAAGATAAAAAACACGGAAACTCAAATTATCAACGGTTAAGTAGGATTATCTAACCCTGACAAAACTTGTAAATCCTGTCAGTTGATGTTTCTTCGCTGAATGAATCAAAATCGTCGGCATCGTCGTAGTCATCGTCAGTCTCATCTTTCGATTTAAGCTCATCATTTTGATAATTCTCAAAATAACTATCATGTGTGATGCTCGGTTTTTTTGATCGCCAGAACTCTGTGACATTCCTCGTTATGTTGACGCGGGGTGGGGCGACTAATTTTAATTTGCGTAGAATGTCTTCCTTTATGTACTCGATTCGAGTCAAGTACAACAATTCTTTATAATCGCATCTAGTGCAAAATGTTTCTGGGCGGCCACCAGTCCAAATTGGTCCTAGAGGTCCATCATCATTAGTACTGGCGCCATCAATCACTTTTCTTCCTACAGCGGTATTTCGTTTTTTTCTATTTGACTTTTTTAATGATTCGTGATTTTTTTCGTAGATGTTATCTGCAAAATTTGTAGACGTTTTTTTGTGTTGTGTTTTTTTGGGGTAAATATTTTCAGGGCTTTTTGTTTTGTTTATAGGTTGTGAGTGCTCGTTGAATGTTTCTTGCATAATTCGTTGTAGCTGCTGTGTATCTTTTTTGTCTGTCGATGATGATTCATTTGATTCTTTATTTACACTCAAGCGATCGTTCGTGTTGTTGTTGTTATAACTCTTAGTATCGTCGAATGAAAATTTAGTGGTAGTTTCAGCGGCAGCATCATTAGTAACAATGTGAACAGCTCCAGTGCTGACAGCAACATCGCCGACATTGCTGTTATAAATGGGGGATGATGTTGAAATATTTGAAGAAAAGTTTTTTGATAGCAATGAAGATGGCAATGAAATAACTGGAGATGATGTTTCTGATGGCAAAAATGATGACGATGATAATGACGATAATGGAGATAGCGAGAGCAATGATAATGACCGCTCCTTTCTACTGTTTTCTTCGGAATTTTCTTCAAATAGTTGATGGTCATCATCGTCGTTATCAACTGAAGCGGTGGATGTGTGTTTGTTGAATGTGTTGTTGTTGTCATGGAAAGGCTTGTTGCGCAGAAAATATTTATTACTGATATCACTATCGCAGCGTTCGATGAGGAACATAATGATTACTGCAACTGCAAAATATTTTCGAAACATGCTGCTGCCGATGGACCACTACAAACGGTCTGCTCCTTATGGTCATTAAAATTTTTAACTCCTGCCCTCCCCACTTTTTCACGTTTCGTTAGAAGGTGAATATTTTCAATTACTTATGCTGATCTCTGTTTTCTCAAATTTTTTTCATCGAAAATGAACGCAGGAAAACAAAATTAGATAGGTAGATGGAAAATCGTTGAAGAATGAACATTCGGTGTTACTATATTTCATTTGAGAACTACAACGATAGTTTTGGAAAGGTAAACTTCGTCTAATATCAACAGCTCCTGATAACTTGTTCAGAGCGATTTTCATCAATCAATCATTAAAATTCCAACTATGATTTTAAACAGATGTTTTGATCGCTACAATCTGAATTTGTTTGAATGTAATAATAATAAAATTTTGTTGTTTAATAGAAATCATAATTTTTTGTAAAAAAATTTTCAAATAGTTCTCAAATCTTTAATTGGTGTTATCGAAAATGAAAATATAGTTAATTTTACCAGTTATGAAGCTGAAAACAAAATATCGCTCTGACAATTTCTACTAGTTTTTCTATGCTTATTCTTTACTAACGCATTTTAAAACATTTTTTTTATTTGGTAGAAATGGCTAATAAATTATACATCTTATATTTTATGTTTCAATTAAGATAGTTAGTAAATAGCTTACAATAATAAGAAATAGTTAACAAAATAAATATCTCATATAAGGTCACTAAAAGTAAAGGTTGCAATCTGTAATTAATGAGCTGCAAAAGATATAGATACCACTCAACCGCTGTTATGTAAACCGGTTAACTCCGAAAAAATGCCTGCGAAATTTTTGATAATGATGATATCATTCAATTGCTGTTTCAATCAGTCAGACGTCTAGGTGAATATATAGTGTTTATTTATCATCATAAACAAAACAGAAAGAAGATTTAAAATTGAGAGCAACAAACAATGTGGGAAATAAACTAATGCTAGGAAACTAACGGAGCACTTTCTTCATCACGTTTAATGGTACGAAATCAAAACAGTGCCAACATTTTTTAATTTATGTAACATAAACTGCAGTGAAAGCATTTGTTTATACAAATCCAGACATCTGAAAAAATATGCAAACTAATATTGTGCATTACTCAATGCATTTATATGTAAATATATACATTATGCAATAAAATAAGTAATATGTAATTGCATATGTAATATATACACAATGTGTGTTGTGTGTTTGCACCTGTGTGTGTTTACGTTTGTGTGCGTGTGTGAAACGAAGAAATATAATGCTTATTTCTTCCATTTTAAAATTGTGACTGAAAATGTATTTTTTTTTAAATTTTCAACCAATAACATTACAGGATCTTTTTAATTGGTGGTTAATAAAAAGAAAGTAAAAATGTTTGCATTGCAACGATGTATAAAGGAGCATGTGTATAATATACACTGTGTATATGTATATGTATGTGTGTATGTGTATATATACACTGTATATATAATAATAATAACTATATATAATACATAATATAAAAAGTTACTACCAAAATTCTAAAGACTTCAATCACCATTGCCGCAATTAAGACGTGCTCCATAAACGACAACTCCCAGTTTTCCGGCCCAAATGATTGCACACAGTCTTTCCGTTCTATTCTAATAAAGGCTTTTTCGGAGTTCGTACACAGTAACCTCACGCCTTCACATTTTTTCAGATTATTTCTTAAGTTTCTCTATAATACTCTAAATTATTTTTTCAGCATACCCAAACTATTTAAATCTTTTACCAACGTCTGCCGTTTATCACCAAGGCCAGGGTATTTTTTTAATTTCTGAAGCCATTATCAAATTAATCTATTTTTTTGTCTTTCGATTTTTTTGCTGCAATATATACATATATATATATATATATATATATATATATATATATATATATATATATATATATAATTAGGGTTAAGATTGTTGTAGATACAACTGTTAAGAAATATCATGCATTTTCAGCTTTGATCAGTTTCCGGTTCAATTTTTCATTCTACGTACATTAATTTCAATATTTCAATCCGCACAAAGTTCATATTACATTGAAAATGGTAAAGGATTACCGAATAAAAGCATTTTTTGTATAAAATAAAAATGAGTAGTAAAGAAGAGTAGTTAAAAACTATGCTTTCTATATATAAAAAAGTTAAAAAACATTGACAAAATACGGTAGGAAATAATGAAAAACTGAATCAGAAATTAACCGCGTGTACATTATTAAAGAGTAGATTATAAGCTTCTATCGTTTAAAAAAATAACTTGAAGCCTCTGTAAGTGGCCTTCATGTTTGCAGGATGGCCCTTCAATACCTTACACGCATTAGAATGCTATATTTTTATCAGGAGGGTTAAAACGGCAAAATATAATATCGGTTTCTTTATTTTTCATCACCACCAACATTTTCGAAAAAAATTAAAACACCGAGAAAAATTTAAACCAAGTTTTTTTTGCTTATGTTGAATGAATTTTGTTTTTGTGCATATTAAACTAATTGAATATATAAAAATACTAAATACAAATTTGAGGCAAGCTTTGCAATAAAACCTGAATGTGTAAATTTTATAACCTAGCAAATTTTAAATACAAAATAACAAATAATGCACCATAAAGCCGATGAGAAGTTTTTTTTCCATTTTTGCATTGTTTATCAACACTTAATGCTTGGTAGGTCGCACATAGGTAATTAACAAGTGCCAGATGTTGGATGTTTCATAAGAAAGATCTTGCTCTGTGTGAATGAAGACAACGTATTAACCGGACAAAGTCGTTGGATAAATTAGAGCATCAGTCAAACAATTATGCCAATTTTCTAACTAGATAGATGATGGTTGGCTTGCTGACTGCGTTCATCACACGTTTTAATCTACACTCTTAAACCAATTATATAAGAACACTTTTATAAATGAAATATTGATGATTTGTTATTATTTATGTACCAGCATAATAACCAACCGTGTCAGAAAACATAATTCGTTAAAAAGAAAGCTTAACAACTTACTACAAAACTATTGATAGCTACAATTGATAACTAACGCTGAATTAATTTATAAACTTTTAAATACTACGAACAACGAAGGATAAAAAAACAGAAATTCAAATAGAAAGCCAAACTGATCTATTCGTGTTTCCAATTCGCTAACTTTCAACAGTGCAAGAAATATGTCAGACTCCATTTAAATAATTCAAATCACTTGGATGGATCCAGCACAGAAAATCTATAAATAGAAACGAAAGTACATACAACTAGAGAGCAACGACTGGATAGTAAGGGACAAATATTTTAAATATTTGAAACTATTCATACTCACTCATTCACTTCACTTCTTACTTGAAATATCATCTCTTCACTTTTACAGATTTGTTTGAACTTTTTTCTACTATGTGTTAATAAAAGACACACACACACACACGCACACACAAAGACAAGCCCATGCACACAAACGCATAATTTGTTTGTGTGTGTATATATATATATATATTGTATATATAATATATATATATATTGTATATATATATAATATATATATATATATATAAACAATTAAATAAATATATATATATATATAAACAATTAAATAAATAAATAAATATATATATATATATATATATAAACAATTAAATGTGCAGCACACACACACGCACAAACACACATGCACATACATACATCCCAGCCACACACATTGCCACCAACGCTAATATATATAAATATATGTATATATATATATATATTTATACATACATGTATATACATTTATTTCTATGGATAATTACATATTTTAACTTCCAAATTACTAATTGTAATGCAATTAATGTAGGAAACTGAGTTCACAATTAATGGCCTATTTAATATTTACAATAGCAATGCAACTATAAAATGATTAACATTGAATTCACCATATTGTATAATTATTATATATATGGAGGTAAAAATGTTACAGAACAGACTAAAAAATTTTTATTTATTTTATACATGCAAATTTTATTTTATTTCTTTAAATTTTTAGTTGCCAATCACAATTATAATTATATGTTGCAACTTATACATACTGAAAACAATTTGACTATGTCTATTTAAATTACATTTTGTTAATCAATAAGAGTAGGTATTTAGTATCAGAATTAGAGTTTGATTAATTAACTTACATGTTCAGTACACACATACGTCATATACATACGTATGCATGCTAATTTAAACACATATACGAGCGAACCCTATTCTTAATCCCGTTTGACTCGAAGGTCAGTAAGACCGTGTTTTTCAACCATTAACAACGAGGTAGTAAAGAAGGTGACTTCCAGTTTATTCACGATACTTTCAAAAAAGTACACAAACCTTACAGATTACTTCTACACTAAAACCACAACGACATTCCACAAATGGTAAAAAAAGCACACTAACTCTCTTATAACAGTCATAACTCACTTGTTTGTTTTGTTCAGCTTAGAGAGAAATCAATCTTTTCAGCCAGGCGGAAATAAATTTATTGAAACTAATGAAAAAACGATAGCTTGGCGCCAATTGACCGTGGAATAATTTTATTTTAAGGTCTCTTAAATAGTTTATTATTAACGTTATAACACCATCCAACTTGTATACTATATAGAAGACCTAGGAAACGGTCATGAAACAAAACTTTGTAAGTCTTATAAAGTTACAAGACAACTAATTATTAAATCTACACTTATTTTAATTTAATCTAATGCCAAATTTGCATTACTGTATTATTAATGCTTTTAAGCAGAACTTTCTTAATTGAACCGTCAGTTAAGACCAACATTAAAAGTGCAAATAATTAAATACAGCAATTAAATTTTGGCAACCCGCGTGAAATGGCGTACAGCTCCGTTTTATACACGTGAGATACAACTGAAAGAAAAGCCTGTTCTTACCTTATGTATTTATATTCTACCCATCCCATACGTACATACCATGCATTAAACGTTCTACATTGCATGAAAATGAACACTTTGCGCGATGTACATGTGC